TATCTATTAGTTTCTGTGCTAAGAGAATTCTAATATTAAGGAAATTGCAGAAGTCAAACCTAAGTTGGAGCAAAGAGAAAAGAGAGAGTTTATATATCTTTTTAGAAAAGGTAGAAAAGGTAAAAAAAGTAGAAAAGGTAGAAAAAGTAGAAAAGGTAGAAAAGGTAATTTGTTCCAATATTGCTTCTAAGATAACTCAATAACTATGTATCTGTTTTATATGATTTATAGCTCATTAGAAATATCTCATCAAGCTGAATCTAATAGCCTAACTTAAAACTAACTTTAACTATTTAGATTATCGAGAAATTGATATTAAATAAAATATATCCAAGAATTTAACTATATAAAATACTAATAATAATAATTAGAATAATAATATAATAAAATAGATAAAACCTATTTTATAATATTACTATAAAATCTAATAATATTAGCTAATCAACAAAAATTATTGAGAAATATAAACTCACCTCAAAGATGGATATATCAGAACTTGGTCAATATACTTCAGAGTTTCTCAAGAATCTTACTGATGATAGAAAGTGAAATCAGACATGCAGACATCTTTAGTATAGCTTTAAATTTAGCAGTAAACAAGTGAGTATATTGATACTCAACTAGAGAAGTGGTAAAACTAAAGTCATAAATATTGCAACTTTCGATAGTTACCAAATTCTCTATCCAACTCCATATAATTTAGAAGAAACTATCAGAGAAATAGTATATCAAATTATACAAGATAATCTCAGTACTAGTGTTGTAAAAGCTGAAGCTTGTGTTTTAGCCAATTTAGCACCAAATGCTAATACTGGCTCATCATGTCTTTCTTAACTCTGAAGAGAACTAAAAAATCTTGGTACTTCATTTCAAATAATTGAAGCTATAAAATTTCTTGATATTACAAAAGATGCTAATAAAATTCAGAAAGATCAATGTAAATTTGTTGAAGCATTTGAGTGAATTGATTATCCAGACTACTTTATATTAAAATCAGTTAAAGAAAGATTAAATAAGTATGTTATTTTTACTCTACTTGACTTATAAGCTCTCACAGATATTATAGTAATACTTTGTATTTGTTCTACTAAACTTACAAATTGTATATTATAGATGCTGAAGTAACAGGATATGCTAAGAACAGAGGTCAACTAGATATTCCTAGAAAATTTAAATCTATGAAAAAGAACTAAGAATGAGCTAAGGAACTACTTACTTGAATATAGAATTCTATATCTTCTGATCAAATAGGTAATCCAAGTAAGCAAGTGTTAAATAGTTCAATAGATTCTTAATAGATTATGATCTAATTCCTGAATACTTATGAACAATAGATGCTGTTTATAGTATAGTAGTGCATAAGGCTAAAAATATAACTCACACTTATACAATTACTAGAAAGTGTTTACATCACTTATCTGACAACTATACTTCTCTTGTGAAAACTATGTCATAGTAAACTACAAGCTTCATAGAATTAGTGCTGATCAAGCAAGACTATTCCAAATCTATGATAAAGATTAATTATTATTAGATGATTCAGAACTTGACTTAGACCCAGATGAAGGCTAAATTTTTTATGTATCTTTAGACACTAGCTCCACTATTCACGATTGCTAGTAAAGATTAAGTGATCCTCTCATACTAAATAATTTATGAATGAATAGATTGTTAAACCTGAAATTAGTTTATAAAATCTGCAAATTAAATTTTTTAGTTGTGAAAGTATTTATTATAAAAATAAGCTAAGTGTATGATTAATTGCAAATACTTATCTGTCTATAACTCTTAATATGTATACTAACCCTTCGATCATAAAAAATTTGAATATGGCTACTAATCCTACATCTTAAAATATTTCATATCTCGAAACACTTGCATTAAATGTTCTTAAAAATTCATCTCCAGAAAAAATTGCAAATGATATTAATATACCTGAACTAGATCTATGTTTTTTATGCAACCAAGAACTTTTTTTATATGAAATAAAAAAGCTGATTACTTTACTTATCTGTGGCCATATATATCATCATGATTGTATTGAAACTTCTATTAAGAAATGTTTAATATGCCCAAAGCTCGATTATAAGAAGGAAGTAGAATCTACGGTTGACAGCATGCCTGGAAGTCAGAATATTAATGATTTGATAGATATATCTCCGTTATTATTTACTGATCCCCTCTTCCCAAGTCTGTCTAAAAAGCGTGTTAGTGAATCTATCAGCAAATCATCTAGCAAGAAAGTGAAGGTAAAAAATGAAGATTCATCTATGTTAAAAAAACTTATCAAGGAGTTATCATCACCAAGCTCTTCGAGTACCACCTCTTTGCAAACAGTCACGAGCTCAAGTAATTTTATTGACCTGTACAATGTGCTTATTAAGGCCGAAGAACAAGTGGGAACCACAAATCAGGAAGTTATTAGGAGCTATTTTGCATTTAGGAAAAAACTTGAGGATAGGTTCGAGTATTATAAAAAAAGTAATAGAGACCGTAAGGCTAAGAAAAAACTTATCGATGAGGTCACAGAACAGCTCCCTAACGACCTTTCGAGGAATGCAATCGAGAAAAGACTAGAAAGAGCAAGGAAGATTTATTACCTTTTCAGTAATATTGGATATGAGAAGATACAACTGGTAAAATCTTATTCTGCATTGAGAATTTCTAAATTAAGTTGGGACGAGATCGATGCTATAGAAGAAAAGTTTAAATAGAGATAATCGTTATTTACTGCACCAAGACATATGACTTCGCTGACCGACTTAGTCAAGAAATTCATAAATTATTTCGTAATACATATATTGTTTATTTATGGGCAGAGCCCAGTGTCTAAGTATAATAAAAAATTTTTTTAGCCACGTATAATTATTTTTCTATTAATACAACAATGATAAAAAATCATAACAATACATATACAAATAAAAAAAGCCGAAATTATATCGAAAAGTGGCATATATTTGGGGGTTGGAAGCATGGGTGTAAGGTTTGTGAGGAATGCAATCATCATTCACATCTATATTGCAAAACGTGCAAAAAAAGTAGCGGATGGAATATATAAGCGATGTGAATGCGATAACGTGTTAGAATAAATTTCGCATACGTATAAATTTATCTGTATCACCTTCGTTATGCATAACTTATTTGTGAGACAGGGCACAATCTCAAAGTGCCATTTTTCATTTTTCGACCGGGGCGCCCCGGCTGAAATTAGTACCTAACCTCAATTAACTCATGCCACATATCGATACCAAATATTTTTAACTTCATTGTCATGATTACATTTACTAGTGCAATTGACTCACTACGCTTCGTTTGTTCATGGTTGGTATAATAGTTCATGTGGAAAAATAGATCCATTAATAAATCGAAAATTCG